ACTATACTAAACTACACTACACTATACTGTACTATACTATACTAAACTGTGTTACACTACACTGTACTATACTAAACTGTGTTACACTACACTGTACTATACTATACTAAACTGTGTTACACTACACTGTACTATACTGAACTGTGTTACTCTACACTGTACTATACTATACTGCACTGTGTTACACTACACTATACTATACTATATATTACTATACTATACAGTGTTACACTACACTGTACTATACTATACTAAACTGTGTTACACTACACTGTACTATGCTATATATTACTATACTATGTTATCCTATATTATGTTTTCCTATACTAAACTGTGTTACACTGTACTATGTTATATATTACTATACTGTACTATGTTATATATTACTATACTTTGTTATACTATACTATACAGTGTTTTACTATACTACACTAAGCGGTGTTATACTATACTGTACTATACGGTGTTTTACTATTATACTATACTATGTTATACTACACAGTGTTTTACTACACTGAGTGGCCAGATTATTATAACCACCCCACCAGTACTTCGTTGGGCCTCCTCGTGACTCCACGAGATGTTGAAAGGTGATGCGAGGAATCTGACACTGCACTGTTGCCCTTCTGTTGTCTTGTACCAGTCTTGCCACTCTCCGTTCTGCCCTAACATTGACTAGTCGCTGACGGCCACAATTTGCACGGTCAGACCCAGATTTTCGGCTGACAGTCCAGTCTTTAAACACTTTAACAACAGCTGCTCTTGAACATTTAACGAATTCTGCTGTTTTGCTGATACTCACTCCATGGCTCCGAGCGCCAACAATCATCCCACGTTCAAAGGCTGTTAAATCGCGTTGTTTCCCCGTATCTTCAGAAAAAAATCACTTCTACTGTCGTGGTAAACAACCTGCTTCCCTATTTATAATGGTCTGGCCCTCTAGCAACTTCAGCCCCAAATTATAGCTAATTTACCTACAAACGTCAGGTGGTCAGGTGGTCATAATAATCTGGCCACTCAGTGTATACTGCACTAAACTGTGTTATACTATATTGTACTATACTATACAGTATTATACTATATTATGTTTTACACTATACATTACTATACAGTCTTTTACTATACTAAACTGTGTTACACTACACTGTACTATGGTATACTATACAGTGTTTTACTATACTATACTGTTACACTATATTGTACTATACAGTGTTATACTATATTATGTTTTACTATACTAAACTGTGTTACTCTATACTGTACTATGGTATACTATACTATGTTATACTATATATTACTATACTGTGTTATACTGTACTATGGTATACTATACTATGTTATACTATATATTACTATACTGTGTTATACTGTACTATACAATGTTTTACTATACTACACTAAACTGTGTTATGCTATACCATACTACACCATACTATACAGTGTTTTACTCTATTTTGTTTTACTATACTACACTATTCTGTGTTACACTACACTGTACTATGTTATACAATACTATACAGTGTTTTACAATACTTTGTTGTAATATGTTTTACTATACTACACTGTACTATGTTACACTAGGCTATACTATACTGTTATACTATACAGGGTTTCACAATACTATGCTGTAATATGTTATACTGTACAGTGTTTACTATACTGTACTAGACTATATTAGGTTTTTTCCCCTACAATTTTTTTTGCTTAGGCTAAGAACAATTCAGCAAGTACAAAAATGACCTTCAGATCCTGCCAAAAATGCAGTGTTCATTGTCACTTCCTGCAAGCTGAAATTTCAGAGGTTATTTTCCTTTCAAACTATCTTGCGTAAACTACAAATCCCTTGCCCCCTCCCACGAAATGGAAAGGAGGAGGTGTTTGTAGTCCAAATAAGGAAAGCAGCCTAGGGTGACAACACTGCTCCTGCATTGATACAGCGCTGTCATGAGTGGGCACTGTCCCCATACGACAGGAAGTGTGTTACTGGCGGGATCACCAGGTGAAAATAAATAACAGTAATGGCAATACTACATGTAAGGACCGGTGAACTGCAACAGACAAGATTTTTCTATATACTTTTATATAACAGATCATTCAGAACCCAAGTGACCCACCATCAGATTCTGGAGCATGAGAACTCCCAAGTGCTGTGTGGCACCGAAGAGGTGGCGCAGTACAAAGTTAGGATCCGCTCAGGTGTTACAATGTATAACATTCTGTAGAAGTGGAGGAAACTCAGGAGATACATCGTATAAAAAGCAGCAATTGTCACCCATCACCCGGACATCCCATCACCTGAACCTGCTGCTGCTGTATAAAAACAACACAACTCCCAGCAGTGTATACAATCCTCATACCAATGTATATACAACAGTGATAACAGTGTATACACAATCCCCCCTATAGCAGTGACAGATGCCGCCCCCAGCACACACCAGTCAGCCCAGTGCTGGAGGTGTCATGTAACTGGGAATGTATATTCTGGGATCTGTCACCCTGCACTCCCCCATCCCCCGGTGTACGCTCACCCCTCTCCCGGTCACCCTGCACCCCTCACCGGGTGATGATCTCCCTACCTGCCCCAGCCAGTCTGCCAATTTCTCCCCCTCCGGAGGCTCCAGCAAGTCAGTTCGGCCAGTCTGCCACCCCGCCCGGAGAGTCATGAGACTGCACCCGCCCACTCGGCTCTAAACCCCGCCTACTGCCTAGAGAGCCCCAAACCTGTCCCCTCCTACTTTACGCCTCACTCCGCCCACCGCTTAGACAGCGCCGCTCGCTTGTACCGCCTACTCCGCTCTTTAAAAAAAAACGAACCAGGTACCGCCTACTCTGCTAAGCCTCCCTGCCTATTCTATCTTGGGGACAGCCCCGCCCCTCCCCAGGGTGCCTGGATCAGGACCGCTCTCTCTGCAGACGTGTGGGTGGTCCGGGAGGGGTGGAGGGGATTCCGAGGAGATCGCTGACCATAGTGCTGACCTTCACATAGAGGATCCATGTGCTGGACCTCGGGGGACACTCCGGGCTTCTCGTTGCCATTAGCGGAGGTGGGCAGATTCCCCATGCACGGTGTGATATCCGGGGGGCATAAAGCGGGCCTGTCAGGAGAGGACTAGTGGTGAGACTGCCATTGCTGACCTCCCTTGGAAAATGTTGGTTGCCTGGCTCAGTGGCTGTAATGGTGATCCGCTGGCTTAAGTCCTTTCTTAAAGTGCTCTGCACTCTTCTGCTGTATCTTATATCGCCCCTCCCCCTTCCTCACCAGATTTAAATTTTTTGTTTAACCAGTTGACATCCGCGGTGTTAAACCCCCTTCCCATCCAGGCCATACATTTTTACACCAAAGCCAGAGCGTCCACCTTTCTCACCTAGGCAAGAATGATGCCCCCATCCACAGGAGGGTAATCTACACCAAACTGAGCATGTGCCGGATAATCTACACCACACTGAACATGTGCCAGGTAATCTACACCACACTGAGCATGTGCCAGGTAATCTACACCACACTGAGCATGTGCCGGATAATCTACACCACACTGAGCATGTGCCAGGTAATCTACACCACACTGAGCATGTGCCAGGTAATCTACACCACACTGAGCATGTGCCAGGTAATCTACACCACACTGAGCATGTGCCAGGTAATCTACACCACACTGAGCATGTGCCAGGTAATCTACACCACACTGAGCATTTGCCAGGTAATCTACACCACACTGAGCATGTGCCGAGTAATTTAAGGGTTCATTGTTTGCAGTACATTGTATTATATGCAAAAGGATGATGGACAAATATATATATATACACACACACACTATATTGCCAAAAGCATTAAGACACCCCACCAAGTCATTGGATTCAGGTGTTCCAATGACCTCCATGGCCACAGTTGTATAAAATCAAGCACCTCGGCATGCAGACGCTTCTACAAACATTTGTGAAAGAATGGGTCGCTCTCAGGAGCTCAGTGACTACGAGCGTGGTACCGTGATAGGTTGTCACCTGTGCAATAAGTCCATCCGTGACATTTCCGTGCTACTAAATATTCCACGGTCACCTGTTACTGGTATTATAACAAAGTGGGAACAACAGCAACTCAGCCACGAAGTGGTAGGCCACGTAAAATGAGAGTGGGGTCAGCGCATGCTGAAGTGCGCAGAAGTCGCCAACTGTCTGCAGAGTCAATAGCTACAGTCCTCCAAACTTTGTGTGGCCTTCAGATTGGCCCAACAACAGTGTGTAGAGAGCTTCATGGAATGGGTTTCCATGGCCGAGCAGCTGCATCCAAGCCTTACATCACCAAGTGCAATGCAAAGCGTAGGATGCAGTGGTGTAAAGTACACCGCCAGTGGACTCTAGAGAAGTGGTGACATGTTCTCTGGAGTGACCAATCACACTTCTCTGTCTGGCAATACGATGGACGTGTCTGGGTTTGGCGGGTGCCAGGAGAATGGTACTTGCCTGACTGCATTGTGCCAAGTGTAAAGTTTGGTGGAAGGGGGATTATGGTGTGGGGGTGTTTTTCAGGGGTTGGGCTTGGCCCCTTAGTTCCAGTGAAGGGAACTCCTAAGGCATCAGCATACCAAGACATTTTGGACAATTTCCTGCTCCCAACTTTGTGGTTACAGTTTGGGGACGGCCCCTTCCTGTTCCAACATGACTGCGCACCAGTGCATAGAGCAAGGTCCATAAAGACATGGATGAGCGATTTTGGGGTGGAGAAACTTGACTGGCCTGCACAGAGACCTGACCTCAACCTTTGGGATGAATTAGAGTGGAGACTGCGAGCCCGGCCTTCTCCTCCAACATAAGTACCTGACCTCACAAATGGTCCAACATTCCCACAGACACACTCCTAAACCTTGTGGACGCCTTCCCAGAAGAGTTGAAGCTGTTATAGCTGCAAAGGGCGGCCAACTCAATATTGAACCCTACGGATGCCATTAAAGTTCATGTGCGTGTGTACAGGCCGTCATCCCAATACTTTTGGCAATATAGTGTTTATATATATATATATTCTATAGACTCCTCCTTCCCCATGTCCTCTTTCTCTACAATTAGGCTCCACTAGGGGGCGAATTGCATCTGGAGGAGGCCTCTGTTTCTGATATATTGTATTCAGTATATATGAAAGGATGATTGACATTGTATCTTTAATAGGGATGCACCGATACCGATACAAGCATCGGTATCGGCGGCGATACCGAGTATTTGCATGAGTACTCGTACTCGTGCAAATACTCCGATACAAAAAACGAGTACCTGTGCCGCGTCCGCCATCTTCAGTGACCCGAATCCGCCGCACACAGGACCTCCATCGCATCTTCAATGAAGCAAGATGGCCGCAAACTCCTCAGTCATCTGCTCCATTCTGACCTCTTCTCCCGCTAATTGGATGATTGACAGTCTTCCTCACCAGTCAGGAGTGACTGGTGAGGAAGCCTGTCATCGGCCAATCAGCGGGAGAAGAGGTCAGAATGGAGCAGATGACTAGGCTGTGACGCGGAGTGGCTGAAGCAGACGGAGAAGACGACACAGCAGGTTAGTACTGCCGCACCTCATGGGGCTGGGCACAAAAATGCTATTTACCGGCATATATCATTTAAAAAAAAAGAAAATAACTATGTACTATGTAGACTAACTAAGGCTTGTATACCCCTAGTGGTGAAAATAGATGAGCACATGTCCAGACTGCAGACCAGAACACTGTGGCACAGCTATATCCAATTCTGCATACCTGGCTTTATATTATAAGAAAATGTCATAATAATATAAAGCCAGTTATACAGAATCTGATACAGCTGTGCCACACTATACACTGTGTTCTGGACATGTGCTCATCTATTTTCCCCACTATGGGGATGCACGCCTTAGTTAGCAATGGCATGATAAATATTCATTTGATTATTCAATGTCTTTTTTTTAAATATTATAAAATGTTATAATATTAAAAGCCCTCGTTACTATCTGTACTTTGAGCTGATCCCCCTCAGTTCATCTCACTTCTTTTTCTTGGGAAAATAGATGATCACATGTCCAGAACAGTGTATTATTGTATAGTGTGGCACAGCTGTAGCCAATTCTGCATACCTGGCTTTATATTATAAAGTTCTTATAATATAAAGCCAGGTATGCAGAATTGGATATAGCTGTGCCACACCACAGAGTGTTCATGTTCTTCATAATATTAAGAAACTGACCTAAAATCATGATTTTGTATTGCTTTAGAAAAAATTTGACCTGCCCCTTAAGAAAAAGTATCGGTAATTGGTATCGGTGAGTACTTGGAAAAAAGTATCGGTACTCGGCCTTAAAAAAGTGGTATCGGTGCATCCCTAATCTTTAAGAACTAAGTGGGAGTGTTAATTTATGTGTGTGTATCAGGGATGTGCGGTGAGGTCAGTGGCACCGAGCTATGCGTTCATCTGCCAGCGGCCGGTGAGGTAGGAGGGGAAACCGCTTTGCCTGTGGGAGGAGGGATGGAGGAGACAGTGAGAAGCCTTCCTATTCCGTCACTTGCTTGTCTACGATGAGACATCTAGATGGATGGAGACCGGGTGACACCCAGTTGTGACGTCACCGCGCGTGTGCGCGATCATCTATTTGACGCCTGGAGGTGGCCATTTTTGTGATGGATGCCGGCAGAGAGAGGCGGGATGAGGTATGCCGCGTGGTCCCCTCCTCTCTCCTAACACTGTCGGGCTCTCGGTCAATGATGCGGTCAGTGTTTTATTGATTTCCTTTTTTTTTGGACAGCTTGGACCAGTGGCCCCTTGCCATTGCTCCAAACCATCCACAGAGTTCAAGCCTCTGATTCCGAGTCAGAGGCTTGATGTAGCTCTGACCCCACTGTGTTAGGTTACACAAGCAGTGGGGAAGCTCGCTGCTGTGCATCCTAACATAGCTGTCGATAGCCAGATGAAGCGTGCCTGTAATTAACAGGCGGTGCTCCATTTATGACAGATTACACAGCGGGGAGACTTTCCCTGCGGTGTTCTATCAAAGCTTGTGACTGGGTTGGAATGTGTGACCGGTCACGTGGTCACACATTTTAACGTAATCACGCCCGCTTTTTCTGCGGTAAAATGTGAATTCCAACGCTTTCTCAGCTGTTCCAGGGCAGATCGGCATCGCAGATGGTATGTGCAGGAGAACCGATCTGCCCTGGAACAGCTGATCGGTCCTGAAATGTCACTTCTATCCGACTTTGTGGCATGTGAGATCGCAGCCACAGAGTCGGATATAAGTGACATTTCAGGACCGATCAGCTGTTCCAGGGCAGATCGGTTCTCCTGCACATACCATCTGCAATGCCGATCTGCCCTGGAACAGCTGGAATTCTACACCTTTTGCCGGTCACATATTTCACCGCAGAAAAAGTGGGCGTGATGACGTTAAAATGTGTGACTGGTCACACATTACGCCGCCGAAAAACTGTGCGGGATTAGGTTAAAATGTGTGACCACGTCACCAGTCACACATTCTAACGCAGTCACAAACTTTGATAGAGCACAGGCTCTTTGACCAAAGCTGGCTCCTGGGGGGAAAGTCGGAGGGCTTTGGGAGCAGTGTTGCCTTTGCTTTCATTCACCTTACTTAGCATACACATGATCTCAAACAATTCATCCCCACACAGCTACCTTCTCATGTATCACTT